TCCTTCCCTCCCTTCTCCTCCTTCCCTCCCTTCCCTCTCCTCCTTCCCCTCCAGATATTCCCTTTTCAGGTGGTATCACATGAATCTGCAGTGACTGTGTTCAGTTAGAGATGGGGGGAGGGAAGAGGTGGGCGAGGAGGACGGGACCACCGTGTATCCTGGCGTGTTTCCTTTGCTAACAATGAGTAGTCCACAAAGCTGATGAGTCCAGTTGGGATTGTGAGCCAGCAAACATTTCCTGCCTTTGTAGCCCATCATGAGAGGGGTTTTTCTTTTTTAGGTTTTTATATAATGACTTGGTAACTAAGAATTCCTAGACATTATTTCTAGGCAAAGGTTTCATTCTATATTGAAGGTATTTTAACTTTTTCATTAAGTTGATAAAACAATTCGTGCCTTAAAGGAACACAGCATTCTTTCCTCCTTAGCACCCTCCTTTTCCCTCCTTCCATTCTTCCTGTCACCGGGCCCTCCACTTCTGCCCTTCTTTCTTTCCCTTCTTCCTTTCTGTGTCTGCTCACCATATCTTGTAGTTTAGTTTGATGACACTTTCATGGGACTTTTGCTTAACTTTAGAGACTCCAGTGCTTCACTTATTTGGGAAAAAATTGAAGAGCCATCCATAGATTGTCATGAATTTGAGGAATTGTTTTCTAAAACTGCTGTAAAGGAGAGGAAGAAACCTATTTCTGACACCATTACAAAGACCAAGGCGAAACAAGTGAGTACTCATGTGTTTTCTGAAATAGGACAGTATTTTGGGCCAACGTGTGCACTTTCATTAGAGCAAAACATTAAGATCATTTTCGGGACTGTGTAACCTCCATAGTTCTTGAGCAGTTAGTAGAGGCTAGAATTTTAGAGCATGTGGTTAAGTAAGACTATCCCAAATAAAACAACAAATAATCATCTTTACCAAGATTAATGCTATTTTATTTGTCACCTTATGATTCTTATTTCCAAAATCTCAGCAATTGCTTATTTCCAGAATTTAGCTCTCTAGGAATAAATTGTCACTTGATTGAAATCCACCCAAGCACTGGTATGGGTGGAAAGAAAGATAAGAGTGAGTAAAGGAAAACAGGTGAGCATGAAGCCTAGTGTTAGTAACCGCTAATGTGTTTATATTTTGTTGGTTTGTAACTGAAGCGAATGCTTTTTAGAATACAGTAAGCAATCACACTGCCCAAGATATATGAAAGAAAATCTTGTATTCATTCTGTGTTAGATTCTTTGGTCTATCCTGCGACACCTGAGTTATAAAAGGAAAGAATAGCATATTTGGAGAAACGTGTCCAAACAGTATTTTCCAACTGATCCACCCAAAGGATGTGATCATGAAGTGATACTATAAATTTCTCAAGTGTGTCATTTGTTGATGCACTCCAGGTAGAAGGTATCACTGGTGTTGATCTTTCACCTTGAAATGGGGGAGGTGGCTACATTTTTTTTAGCTCTTGCAGGGTTGGGGGAAAAGTGCATGAATTTGAGAGGAGGGTGGGCAGCTCAGTCTCGTGGGGCAGGGAGAGACAGAGAGATGGGGCCCGAAGTTCCCAGTGTTCTCCTGGCTGAGCCTCCCAAGATGAGTGGGGAAAAAGGGTGATATCTTGAATTTGCCTCTGACCTGAAAGTTGTAGCTGATGTGTGTTCCACGGTTGTTCTTCTTGACATTTATTTCAGGTTAGACAACTCCCCCCAGCTGGATGCTGCCAAATGCAGCCAGGAAGGAATGGATTTGAATGGGACAGCCAGACCCCTGCAACCTCTAACAGGGGCATGGGGGTGGGGGTAGGGAAGGCAGGCTTACCCAGGCATTTCTGTTAATCTGAGAATGATGCTAACCCAACTATTATGCAGTTGAGTTTTTTAGAACCATTTATCGTGTTAGCTGGTTCCTGGTGATCTCAGGTCAGGGCTGTGGTAAATTGGACAGTACCTAGCACATTGTAGTCACTGAATAAATATTTGTTCAACAAATTAACCAGCTGGCTGAGGGAGGAGGGCTTTATAAATATCAATGACTATATCCAGTAATGATTAAAAATCAGAAAATCACTCGTCTCATAATAGTAATCATTGTGGCTGAGGTGACAGTGTTAAGAGGAATAAAGGTAAATGGGAAACCACATGTTCTTTGGCAGAGGTAAGTATTTATAAACTCTTTCCCACAGTATGTCTGCATATAGCACATTGAGGCTGAGTCATTGTCTCTCTTCTCATGGACTGTATCAGAGATGGGAAGGCTGGGCAAGGACCGTGAGCCAGGAATACAGACGTTGAGGACAGCGAGGCAGCCAGGATTGTCACTTGAAAAATGGGTAGATGTGCCATTTTTGTCCAGGGATGAAATACTCAGAAAAGCAAACCATGGCCTCTCCACCTTCCATCACTACATTTTTCTGTTAAGGGAACACAGATAAGAAAGATGCCTCATAGGTTGCCTGAGACTATAGGGTTCATGATTTATTTTACATAGGATTCAGTTTTTATCTTACAGAAGTAACATGTCTAAATCATTGAAACTTCAAATTCAGCTAGTTGGCATGAGATGGCCTGTACTCTCTGCATGTGAACAGTGCATTGAGCATCAGCTCGGCATGGCCACCATTCTCTGTAATTGAGACATCTCATAAATTGTGGGTTAGAGTCTTTGCCAATATGTTGTAATTCACACTTATTGATGGTGACGCTACTGTTGACCTTCAGCTCCAAATAGGTTTAATGGAATAGTCTCCATTATGAGTCTTGATAAGCCTGTTCCACATCTCCTTGGCCTGAGTTTTGGTATTAAGCTCTGCATTTCAAGTCTGTTTCTGGAGGGATGAAGTATTTTTTCTATACGTTGGAGAGAGGAAAGTCTGTCTCAAAGTGATATATTGCTGAAGAAACATAGTTTTATTTAACTTCATTGTATTTGGAAGAAAAAAATCTATCCATTTCATCTACTTGAGAAATTTAAAGATTTGTTTAAGGAAAAATGTATGTTCAGGATGCATACAAATAGTTTCCCTTTTTATGGGAAATGTATACTGATTGTATGTGCAGACATTTTGGTACCTCATGATTCATGTCCTGGGAAATTAATAGCCTTTAATGCTGTGGCATATGTTTATGGAGGTATTTCAAGCAATTCTTCTTATATACAATGGAAGCTAGAAGTTCTGTTTTTCTTTAAATATTTAAAAATAGCCAAATAATTTTTCTGTGATCTGTCTCCTTGAAAGTGAGAGTGTGGTCAAATGCACTAGTATTTAATGCAGTGGCGGTGCTGTTTTTACTCTTTCGAAAGAGATATTTTCAGTGTAATAGTAGAAGATTCCTTAGCTGGGCACATTGCCGTTTGGCTTAAGGAGAAAAAGAGTTATTCTTTGTGCATCTAGACTAGTAGTAATGATGAATATCTTGCATTTCTAAATCCTTTTTCCTCAAAAAAACCCCTAAGACAAAGCATTTCATTTTTTTTTATGAAACAGGAACATACATTTAAGCTCTGCATGATTTCTTAGTTTATTCTTACTTATTTTGAAGTATTAAAAAACATATGAAGGAGATTAGCTGATAAGGCATATGGCAGTATATCAGACTATATGATTTGGCCCAGTGTTCCTTAACTGAGTAAGTGCGACACTTATACATCAGAATGAAACATCAGCTTGCTAACTTAACAACAATAACCCTGTCTCTTAAGGAATCAGGAGGAAAGTAGAAAAAACAATTTTGTATGCGGTCCATGTTTAAATACCTACACACTTGCTCTAGAACTAGTAAACATTTAGCCCGATCAATCACCAGGGTAATTCAGTGATTATTAACTTTGGTAATGATGCTAAGTCACCTCATTTTCTTTTATGTTCCAATAAAGATTATGTTTAACCCGAGTTTACCCAGAAGCAGGAAAATAAATTTACTTTGGAATGATTTTGATAGTAAGAATTGCCCCAGAAAGAAGTTCCTGGTTAGTCCTGTCTCACTTAAGGTTATAAGCAAATATATTTTGGTAAACAGAATAGCAGTAGTTGTAGATATAGTAGCAGTAGCAATAGCAATAGGAATAATAATGGTAATTATGATGGGAACAATAATATTGACCATGGCATCCACAAACCATATTGTACTTTACTGACCACATGCCAGTCATTGTTTTTAGGATTCTGCTTATATTATTATTGTTTAATCCTCATAATCCTATGAGGTTGACACTATTATCACCAGTATATGGTACAGGGAACTGAGGTATAGAGGGATTAAATAGTGTTTCCAGGCTAGTGAGGGGCAAGGCTTGGGTTCAAACTCCAGCCATCTGTCTCCAAACTCTGTGCTCTTCATCATTTTGTCACAAATATGGATGTGAAATATTTCATATGTGTTTAAGTATAGTATTTTATTTATATGGACACCAGAATATGTGTATTTTAAAAGAATTTGAATTTATATTGACTTTCATATACACTCAATATTAAAATAACTATAGTTGCCCCGTTGAAATTGTGTGCAGAGATACTTTTAAAGCTTTTTCCATATTCTAACTGATTTTGACAAGTACATGAACTATGATGCCATCAAACATGACATTTGCCCAGTTAAATAGAAGTTTATCTGAGTGATGTGAACTTTAGACACATAAGCTTCAGTAAGCAGTAAAAATGAGAACCATTTACTGTGTGGCATGTAACTAGTGGTTGGAGGTGGACAGCCACCGTGGTTAAACCTCACCAAATGTCAAGTTGATGGGAATTTTGATTCACCCCATGACACAAAAGGGAACCACCTCTGTAAAATGTGCCTTAAGTAAATAACATCTAATCTTTCTTGAAAGGTCTGTAAAGGAACATGCTACCCATAATGTAAATTTGTACACAGAGGTTAACAGGAGTGAATAAGAAGAATCTGTGTTATTTTTAAAAGAATAATTTGACATTTGTATAACCATTTAATGCAACACAAATGAATCTCTTCCAGGGTTTCTTCTGTTCTATTTATCAGATTAAAATGCTCTGCCCAGAGAGTGGGGGAGAAAAAAAACTCATGACAGTTAAATATTTTTTGGGCTTTAGCCTCTGGAAATATGATTAGAAAAATAGATAGTTAAATCTGCTACTTATTATGAGAGGAGGTAATAAAAAGATTTGTTAGAATTCCCGTTTAGTACAGACATTTGGTATCCTGTTCAATCTTTCCATTGTGCTTGCTGACCTAACCTCTGAAAAGCCTTTTTTTGTGTGTTGCAAATACTCGTAGTAACAGTGGGAAAAGAAGCATTCATTATTCAAGGGTTCCTATATGGGAGTGTATAATATAATGCCTTTAAGCATTCTTACATGAAGTAGTAATTGTCATTAAAAGACTTCTTACTATGTTGGGGATTGGGAAAAATGTGTGTGCTATACTTCAAATATTGTCTACTACTGTAATATTGATTGTTCTGGAAAGGAACAAGAGGTATGGGTTAGTGAATCTCTGCTTCACATTTATTTGGTGTAAATATTTGTTTTTAGATTAAAGATGTTTTATCATAATCAGTGGTTATTTTAGTGTTCTCTGGGTGATAGGCTGAATGGTAATCTGAGCAGTAGACGTCTAGTTTTTTTGTATTGGTGTTAATTTTTCCTGTTGTAGATGGGAAGGGTATGTTTTGGTTGATTTGGGCCATTATTTTAGTCTAAGATGTAAAATAATGTCTGAAACGCCAAATATCTTATAATAAGACAATTCAAGATTTGT